CTTCTCATTCAGTTTTGTCTTGTAAAAAAGAGTTCACTTCATTCATGCTAAAGGTAAATTTTAATGAAGGTGGCCTAAATAGTAAATGCCTGTTTGACGTGGCCACACGTTTTAATAAGATAACTTATCAAATATGTGTACATATGTTGAGAAAAAAGGAACAATAATAAGTGGCTTGGTAAAACACGGAGTCGTTTTGCTATTTTTCCACATGAAAACCAAGTGAAGATATTCATATTTTACATCAGTGAATGTAAAACACGTTAAGTGCTATAGGCTGTTTAAAGTGGCTGTGGTCCTTTTCAACTAGTAGATCTGAATATTTCTCTTAAGTGTTTCCCCTAGATTTTTTTTTCAGCTGCAAATTCTCCTGCGTGGGCAATGCTAAAGGAGGGTAGATACCGAGAAATTAACTCTAATGGCCATAGATCTTGACTTCCTGGACCTCAGCTTCATTTGCTTTTAAAAAAATGTAACTGTAATACAGAAATCGATTGCACTCTCTGACTGTATGACTCAGGAAATAATTAAGCTACACGAGCATCATTTGAACTGTGGCTCACGGGGTTTTTCCACAAATAAGACAGTACCTAACCGTTTTAAAGCTAATGTTAAAGAGGATACGTTTTTATTAAATTGCAGCACTTCCAGAAGGAGGATTTAGATAGGAAGTCTGTATAAACCCATTGTGAACTTTTCAGAGCAGCTTTTAGTTTATGTGAAGTTCTTCAGATGGCCCTTTGTCCTTCGAAGCTTCTAACACCGAGGTGTCTGTTGCAGCCCAGAGCAAGGTCACTGCTACCCAGGACCGCACTAATTTGCGATGTGTTTTCTGTGGTAAGCACCATTATGTTTACGTTACTTCTTCAAGCTGTGGTACATGCTCCTTGTGCATTTCCATGACCTTTGTTTCCCTAGGCCATAGTCTGGTCCTGTGGTATTCAGGACACACAGCAAGCTGCTGTCCATGTCGTGATACCTGTCGTGGTCCACGCAGGTGCTCGGTCAGCTCCCGAGTCGGCGTCTCAGCGAGGGTTTAGTGAGAAGCAGGATCTTAAAACTAACTCTCGTTCACTTCTTTCAACACGAACGAGAGAGCTGTTCTGTTCGTTTTTGTTTTTAACTATTTTGCGTGAGAGCAATCTTTTAATTTGGAGTTTGGCGGGGGGATCCATCTTACTAGGATCTGAGGAAGGTAAATGGCCTTCGTAGAAGGGAGCTTTTGCTTCTTCACCTGAATTCATCTGTGGGTGTGCACGCTGCCGGGCAGGTGCGCGCTCTTGCTTGCTTTGGTGGGTGGGCTTCTGACCACCAGCCTCCTTTATTCATAGTTTGTGTCTGTGGCTCTGGAGTGAACTTAGGCTTTAGAGAGTGTTTCCTTTCACTCGTATACACAAGTGTGCACACACATGTATTGTTTGTGTGGACCGACCAGATGTGTCACTTAGCCACCCCAAACTCCAGTTAATTAGAGACGTGCATGTCCCTGTCCTCACACAAGGGATACCTGCACACACACACACCTGCACACGCGTGCACACACACCCTTTCTGAATTTTTTTTGTCCTCATCAGAGCCTAAAACTTTGTTTTGAAAACCCAAGTTCAGAAAGTAGTTTTCAAATCTTAGTGCTTTAAAATTTTTTTTTAAAACTCACATATGCCTTTTTTTGGTCCCTGAATACCTGGCCAGATTTTTTGAATCGGAGATAAACTTATGAAGTGATATACTGCTAAAGTTTTATGTAAACGGTTCAGCTGCGTATACATATTTTATCCATTTTTTGACTCAGCTTTTGATGTAATTCTTCAGGATTACTGATAATTGTTTCTCTATCTGTGAGGAGAATTGTTTCTAAATTTATGTCCTTGCTGGTTTAAGGCAAAAATGTGCATGTTACACATTTTCAAAAGTGAAAATTCTAGCGCATTTCCCGTTCTGTTTAACGATCGCTCCAGGCGACCCAGCTGAGCAGTGAGCCTCTAGTTGGGTGCTTCGTACGTCCCCTGCCCGCCCCCCCCAGAAGCCACAGTTAGCCGCTGCGATGAAGCCTTCCACCAGTAACTTTTGATTCTGAACTTTCTGCCTCCTCTGGGGCGTTCTTCCAGGCCTTCTTCTGAACTAGCCGTGAGCGACTATTCCTATTTGGGTCATTAGGACTCCTGAGTTCTTTCTGGAAACCGACTGGATGTTCTACACTTGCTGCTGAATGTGTTGAGTCCCACCCGCAGACTGATAGGTGCAGTTTACCCAGTTGAGGAGAGAGGAGTGATTTGGCCTTAATAGAAGTGGATTTTTTAAGTTGTAAAATTATGTGTTAAAAAGCAGATTTTCCCCCATTATTATCTTGAATTGTACAAACAATATTAATTACCACATAGCTGAGTTTACACTTGATTGTATTGTGTATAACAACACCTACTTGTCTTTCGGTCCTGTGTTCTTAAATAGTCTGTGGCTGAGTGTGAAACTGTATCTGTGAAAATTAAAATGTTACAGTGAGTAAAATGTGCTTTAGCCAAAACTCAACTGAAGGCCAGACTGAATTGCCATTCATTCTGTGTTTAGAGAGAGATTCTGTTCTGGCTCTGTCCCTTCTGGGTTGCCATTTAAGCAACACGAACACTTTTCCTTTATCAGGAACTGTAATTCACAGACTTTACTACATGAATTCTAGCCCAGGGCAAATTAAGATCAACCATTGCCTTTGGCCGTGGTAATTAAATAGAGAAAACTAACCCAAACTAACCCTCAAATAGCTGTTGTCCTTTATGATAATATAGTAGGAACAAAGCAGGTTTACGTGTTTCTTCTCTCTTTTTTTTTTCCCAAAAGAGAACTTGAACCACCACATGATGCTCCTAAAATACCGTCACGTGCCCACTGGTCAGGAAAGGACCGTTTTTCTGTATTCTGTGGGGACACAGACACTCGTGTAGGCATACGGCCTGTGTGGATTGAGTAAGAGTCACATCCAGAAAATTCGGTGGCAGCTGACACCTTGCCCGATCCGAGTTGCTGCTTCATGTTGTGTGTGGTGGTGCCTTTGGTACAACTTGCCCATTGTCTAACCCCCGGAATGCTTGCCAGGAAGAAAAAAATGTCATTGTGTACCCGACGTCCATGATTCATGTAGAACTCTTTTATTTAATGCTTGCAGGGTGCTTATGCTGTCTGTGGAAAGACAAGTGGCCCACTGTCACAAAGAACCATGTCGAGAGAATTTTAAGAGTTGAGTTTGGATAGGATCCCCCTACCCCACCCCCATGTTAAAAGGATCTTTGATGAAGTTTTTCTTTGCTTCTCAGCTGCATGAATAAACTGTACTAAATTATTTTTAAATCAAGTTTGCTGAGTAAACTTTTAACTAAAAAACAATCCAAAACAGTTTCTGTAAATTGCTAAGATACTTTTCTCTCATTCAGACTCTCTGGTGAGTTATATTGACTTTTGTTAGTTTTCTTTTAAAAAGCCTGTTTAATAAAACCAACAGAATTGACATGTTGATATCTTTTTCTTGAATTCATATATTTGACTTAAAACTTACATTGATGGCTTTTAATTGGTGAGTTTATCTATTAAAACTGTCCTTGAGATGCAGCGCCTGCCCTGGATGTAGCTGTGTGAGCGCGTTCTTGATTGAGATGGAGGCCAGCGAAGTCTGGCCTGCCGTGTGATTATCCGAGCAGCCTGAGGTTATCACGTAAACATCTCAGCATCATTTTACAAAAACAGTCAACCCAAAATCGCTTTGTGAGATGCCCTTTTAATATTTTTAGATAAACATGACTTTGGATATATAAAATATTCCCCCCGAATAATTTATTTTCTCAAATTTAACCTCCTACCTCATATGGACCCCTTCTGCCAAAAAAGACACCTTTTCCCTGTGAAATATTGAACATTGGTGTATGACAGTATTTTTACACTATTACATTACTTTTCTAAAGAAGGAAGGAATTCCATTCTGTTCATTAGACGAGTTCTATACCTTCATTTATGCAGCTATTTAAGCGTGTATGTAATTCTCATTTTTAAAGTTTTTGATCTTTCTGTTGCTACTGATTATGTGAGATTAATATATTTTGTGGTTCTCAAAATAGCAGACTCTTAGGAAATCTAATGAAACATATCACTGCAGTTGTTAACCTAATTTGTCGTTAGAGGACAAATTAAACGATTAATGTAAAAAATGTGTGAAAGAGATGAGGCAAAAATTAGTGGGTAAGTTCAGATCGAATTACTTGTTTTTCTGCACTTGGGATAAACCAGTTCTTTATTAGGTTTAAATGAGCCTCATCCTTCCAGTTGTGAAGTCTCTTCCACTAGTATAAAATACTCTGTGCTATTACTTTATAGATTATAAGAGTTTGCTTTAGAAGCATTTACTTATTAACTGTTTTTTATACTAGTGGTCTACGAAACACTTTTAAAACATCTGCTTGGGCATTTGCTGGCGCACTAGAATTCACAGATATGTGTATTTCTCTCCAAGAGTGGAAGATAACTATTTCTTTATTCTCTTGTTTACTGGATTAGATTTCAAGACTTCTGTTATAACCGTAGGCATTGTACATTAGGTCCAATATTTATCTCGATCTATGACACACTCAATTTTTATAGCCAGTGACATTAAAATGTCCCGTAATTTAGTGGCATTCTTTATCAGGTGCTAAAAGTAGGTCTACCTTGTACATGGTGTGTGGGAACGGATGGTCATCGTTTCTCATGGCAGAACTATGTTGGTTTGAATGCAAGTGTTTTTGTTTTTTTATAACCCCAGATGGAAAGGTCAGATTACCTCTGTTACCTTAAAAATTCAGATAAGTAGGTTAATTATGTACTAAGTTCAGCGGAAGTTTGTCCTCACCAATGCCGGCAGTGCCAGGCCATTGAACAAGAGTGGCAGCTTTGATTGAGCAAATTTGATAAATGCATTGACAGCCATCAGTCCAGTAATGAGGTTCTCATGCTTTCTCTCTCCTGTTTTTCATTTCCAGTGTTCTATTTAGGTGAGTTTTTGAATTCTGGTTTTTCATTTAAGTTCCCCCTCTCCGCTTCATGAATAAGTACCCCCAAAAGAATGTCTCATTGTCTCAGAAAATGTCGAGCTTAGGTGCCTCTCCAGATGCCCATTAAACGCTTGTTTTACTCAAGCTCTTCATATATAAATGTTTCTTTTTCCTTTATTGTTGGTGTTTCCCATTTGTTTCAAGTAAGCCTTTGGAGGTGATGACAGTATTATGTTGCAGTCTTTCATTTGCTCTGTGTTATGTAAAGCTTCTCTTTTATTTTGCTAAACAAAGAGGAGACACATCTGTAAATATGTGATGGTTTTATGTTTTTCTCATGGTTTTATCTCTAGCCAGCTAAATACTGAGATAATGCTCATCCATAATGTTTTCCTCCCTTTTTTAGGGCCAACATTGCCTAGACAAAATTCACAGCTACCTGCCCAAGTTCAAAATGGCCCATCACAAGAAGAATTGGAAATTCAAAGAAGGTCAGTTTCCTAGTTCCTGTTTATACTTTTTCATTCTATTGTGGAAGACCAGACTATGAACATCCTAATATTGAAAGTAGATGGTCTCATTAGCCATTTGAAAGTCAGAACTTTGCCCTGGCTGGTGTAGCTCAGTGGATTGAGTGTGGGCTGTGAACCAAAGTGTCGCCAGTTCGATTCCCAGTCAGGGCACATGCCTGGGTTGCAGGCCAAGTCCCCACTTGGGGGCACACAAGAGACAACCACGCATTGATGTTTCTCTCCTTCCTTTCCTCTCTCTCTAAATGTAAGTTAAAATAAAATCTTTAAAAAAGAAGAAAGAAAGTCAGAACTTTTATTAAGTTTCGGAATCAGCATTAATAAATGAGCACATTCTTGTTAACGCTGAACAGAAGATGTTAATAAAATTTCATAGCTGCTTTTTTTGTAAAAATCATACTCATGTATATTTAAATATTTTAAATAGCATAAAAATGTATGTACTTCAAGAAGTCTTATTTTTATTGTAGTTATAAATTAACCTGTGATTGTTACAGCTTTCACATGACTGATTTAACTGGAAAGTTGAACTAGCCCTGGCCTTCTGTGGGAGGCATTGATCTCAAGACATCACCATTGATCGGGTGTAGTAATGGAACATGAAATCATTCTGTTTATGACCACACTGCTGGCTGAGTGAGATCAATACCGTTACCTTCATTCTTTCGGTGCCATTTATAAATACGTTTGAAATGATAATACAGACTCATCTAGGGGTAATTTTTCTGAACTAGCAGAATCCCTGAATGATAAGCTACTTGGTAACAAAGTTGGTTTCTGAAATTCAGGTGCATTCAGTGACAAGCATCGAGCTGTTGAAACCAGGTCTCACATTTCAAGCACACGCAGGCTTTTTGGAGATGTGTTGGCCCCACCACCAGTGGCCACCCTGTTCTGGGGAGCTGGGAACTGTCGCACGGATGGGTTTTTCCAACTGAGAAGCCCTTGCTCTGTGACAAGCCGGTGTTTCTTCTTGTGGCTTTTGACTTGGATCTTATATGTGAAACATTCCTCGTGTTCTCTGTGTCGTCTTAATACAGGCACCACGTTTCCCCGACAGAGAATCTCTCGCCCTGGTTCCTGAACTGCTTATCTCTTGAGGAAGGTCCTCTAGGACCGCCCAACGTGGTTTTACTTATTTATTCATTTGCCAGTTTGTTTGTTCATTCATGCCACAGTCTGTCTATTCAGGTAGATCACTCCTGAAATAGCCTCCAAATTTGGTGAAAGTCTAACTCTTTGGAGTGATGCTGTCATCAACAGACTTTATAAATAAAATCAAGTTTCTGTAGAAATAAGGAAAGCTTAAAAGATAGAGTAAATTCAGTTCCCTGTTGAGAGTTTTCAACATAGCAGAGTAATTCCAAGAGTTGTAAGCTGTAATGATACTGTACAGGCACACGCATGCCAGGAAAGTAATTAATAAAAAACGATCACAGTATTATTGGGACTAACAAATTTATAGAAAACTAAGAGGAGCCAGGAAAACCCCAAAACATAGTACATAATTTTGGTAAGTACGGCTGCAAGGAAGTAGTCCGAGGCAGTATTTAGAGGCCGGGATGGTTGGGGATGGAGACAGAAACCACGAAGGGCCTGCTGGCTTGTGGGCCACAGGCCGAGACCCGCCACACAGCGGGCTGCCGAGAGCTTGCGGCACGCAGTGGCAGCTGGGAGTCGGTGTTGAGGGAAGTTCTAGTGATTGTTATGGGAACTGCATGCCTCCTGGATACTTTTTCTCCGATCAAAGTGCCAGCCCTAGCAGTGCCCACCTGGACCTCAGGCTTTTCTGTTTGTCTCTAAGTAGAGATTTAAGGGTTTGTTTGTTTTTTAAAGATTGTATTTATTTTTACAGAGAGGGAAAGGAGAGGAGAAAGAGGGAGAGGCACATCAATGTGTGGTTGCCTCTCACGCAATCCCCCTACTGGGAACCTGGCCCACAACCCAGGCATGTGCCCTGACTGGGAATCGAACCAGTGACCCTTTGGTTCGCATCCTGTGCTAAATCCACTGAGCTACACCAGCCAGGGCAATACTTCAGGGTTTGAAAATTGGAGACGCTGTTTATACTTGTTCAGTTGAAGGCCTTAATTTTCTCATTTTGAAGAGTGAAATCCAAATTTCTAAAAAATTGGTATGGATTTTTAAATTATTTTCTGTCTAGTCATGCACAGGCTCCTCTTCCTTTGAGGGAAACCTTCTGAACCCGTTTCTTCCTCTTTCAATATTAATTTCATCTCGGTTCTGTCTCCACCATTCGCTTTGTGTCTCCACAAATCCGATGGACATGCTGCTTCACGTCTAGTCTAAGTTTTCTGCCTTCCTTTCTGTGCTCTAGTGGCTCTTTTTGTTACTTCTCCCTTCCTGTTCTTTTCTGCCACAGAAAAGACCCGGAGTTTATTTATTAAAAAATGATGTACTTATTCTTACGTGTTTAAACTTCAGCCACCTTCAAAGCACTCTCCATTTGATGCAGTACACTTCTTGAGATGTTTTTTTGACTGCTCCAAACAGTTTTTGAACTAGTTGATTTTGTTGATGCCTTTTCGAGCTTCTGCTGTTTTGTGTTTCACCTCTTCCACATCCACAAAATGTTTCCCTTTGAGGACTTTTTTTCGTCTGGGGAAACAGACAAAAAAAAAAGTTGCTTGCAGCAAGAGAGGATGGGGCACGAAGGTCATGCATTTTTTGGTCAAAAAACCGCTAAACACTCAGCTCAAGGTGCGGCAGGTGCGCTCGTAAATCACCCGTCATGAAATGGGCAATGGGCGTTGAAAGAGTCTTAAAAAAAAACTCACTGAAACCGAACACAGCCTCTCACTGCAACACCAGCTGGTCCACTGATCCAGATGGGTTCCTAGAACACTCACCTCGTGGGGGAGCCTGTACTACAAGGGCCCCCCCTCCTGAAAATAATTCTGATTTTTGGGGGGCGGTCTACCAATATATGTACAATATTTTATGAGTTTAACTTTATTTGTGATGAAAGTAAAATTGAGTTGATAAAACATTTACTCTAGGTGTTAAATCTTACTAGTCCAACACCTTTACATTAGTAATATGATAATATTGTAGTAGTTTAGTTTTCTGTCTGTATGTGTATCCTTTCTAATACTGGCTTTTGATTCCTACTCATTAATATTTGTCTTCCTTGGCTGACTGTGATGCAAAACATATTCTGAGAAACATGAGTCAGTCCTCTGTTAGTCTCAACACAGAACTGAATGTAGTTAATATCTATAAATAGCTCGTACATCACCACCACTACCCGGGACTTATAAAAGGGGAGTAGCAGCCTCCGTGTAGAACCGGGGCCAGAGCAATGAGGGTGTTCAGACCCCAGATCAGCCTGCAGAGGCAGGAGGGGCCGAAGGTTGACCGCCTTCTCCTGTGAGTATCGTCCCTGGTCTCAGGAGCTCTCTGACGGTAAAACTTGATTATATTGTGTAGTTTTGTCCGTTGTCATGTGTTTGCTAACAGAGACATGAAGCGGCCACATGGTGGGAGCAGAACATATGTATGTTATCAGTTTTATTTTCTGACAAATGGCCACATGACATGATCAGAACATATTTATTTATTCAGTTTTATTTTCTGACAAGTGTCCGTAAGATCAGAGTGTTACTGAATGTTGTCAACCCCAGAACATCCTTCCTAGTCTGCCATCCTACTTCATGACGTCAAAATTTAAATCACTCTTAGTTCCCTAACTCTGTGGGTTATAGGTAAGGCTGAATGAAACCAGTTTTAATTTTTTAATGTATTTCATTTATTTTTTATTAATTTTTTTATTTATGTAAAGGTTTTATGTATTTATTTTTAGAGAGAGGGCAAGGGAAGGAGAAAGAGAGGGAGAGAAACATCAGTGTATGGTTGTCTCTTGCGCATCCTTTATGGGGGACCTGGCCCGCAACCCAGGCATGTGCCCTGACTGGGAATCGAACCAGCAACTCTTTGGTTCGCAGGCCGGTCTCAGTCCACTGAGCCACACCAGCCAGGGCCACAGTTTTAAATTTTGTTATTTATATTTTGCTTGCTTTAACACATCAGCCTAAACTTGACTTTGAGTCAACCTAAAATATGTGTTTGAATATATACAAAACCTATTAATCTCGTGGGCCAGTGCTTTGTACATCTCTGTATTTGGGGACACCTCTTGTGGGAGCAGAAACAAATATTTCGGTTGGTGGGGGGAACTGTTTCTGATACTATTTAAAAAATGTTCTTGGCTCTAATTTTGGTCACCAGCACTATAATTGTTTCTGAGAAAAAAATATATATTTCAAATTGTTTTAAAACGAATATCCTCACTTCAAAGAAAAAGAACTCTACCAGAATTTTTCCATAGTTCAGAATTAGGGCTCTTGTATTCCAAAAAGTCTTCAGGTGATTCTCCAAGGTGGAGAAGCAAAAGCAGGTTTACAGTTTCATTATTTTCCGTACGAACAGCTGTATTGTAGACAGGACTCTAGGAAGGGGGATCACATGCATTTCCAGTCTGAGTTGGCCGTGATATTTCTAAGAAAAAGCAGAGTTTATATATTTGTGAACGGTTATGAAAATTTATATAAATTCCTGCTTTAGAGGACACGAAAGTCAGATTTACATAGCACCCCGTTTAGGGGGGATGGATACTAAAGATTTGTAAACTTGACATTTTCTGTTTGGCACACTGCTTTGGGAAACATAGTTAGATGGGCAACTTTTTGGGTGAGCAGGCTAAAATTAGCTAGGATTCGTAACACTTTTCCTTCTTACCCTCAAATCAAGAAAATCAACAGCAGGATCTCCTGCAGCTGTCTGAGCTACAGACTTCCATCGTCTGTCAGTGAACTTGGGACATCTTCAGCGTTGCGTTCTTTCCCTACATCAGCCAAGTTCTCCATCTTTTACGGACCGGAAACCCTAGAATAGTATAACATACGGAATAGTCTTCTCGAGTCAGGACACCCTTTGTTGTAAATGCCATCACTCACGAGTCTTTCCGATTCGTTTCCCTCGTACCTAGCCTTCTTCTCCCTCTGACTTCAACCTCCTTTTGTGTGTGTCAAAAGCGTTGTGTTGCCTAGAGAAGCAGCCATTACCTTGGGGGTAAAACAAAACAAGAACTTGAGTAAGAAATGAGATGTAATCTTAGAATACTGTGTGGTCCAGCTGTGGACAGTATTTACATTATCCCAGGAATAACAAGCTCGGAGTGTCGACTGAATCGGCAGAAACCAGTCTTCTCCCGTGACTACTGGGAAAACTGTGTGTGTGGCGAGGGGCTTGGGAAAGCATGTTCTCATTAGAAAGTCAGCATGTGGCATCTAAAGTTAAAAAGACATACGAAACATCCAGAGAATTGACAGTAATTGTCTTTGATGTGTTGAAAATGGGTGGGAGGGTTGGAGGAATGAACTGCTGGTTTTGTTACGAGTTTTGAAAACTATGTGCTTATATTATTTTAATAAAATGAAAACGTGAGGTGGCACAGAGGTGCAAAACGACCTGGTCACTTGGATCTTTTCTTCACTGATTTCTTGGTGCAGCTGCTAATGTAAAGTGAAGCACTTTCCCTGAGTTTCTGCATTCAGATATATTCTTATTAGAAAAAATGGGTTTGTCGTTTGCCTTTCGGACCCGATAGATTGCTCAGAGTATTACATTTAAAATGCCCTTAAAAAAAAAACACATGTTGTGTGTTTTCAAGTTAATATAAGACCTAACTGAACTTATTCATTAGATACAGGTTATTAAAAAATATGATAGCTGGCTTTGTCTAGTTTATTTTTAAAAACATTCCTCTAAATGCACCTAATTTCTTGCCCTCCTCCCTGCGATGGTGACATTGTCATCCCTCAGACACTTGGCAGCTAGCAGTTTATCCAATAGCATAATGAAGTCGGTGCTGTGTCCTAAAAATCTGATTTGGTTATTTAGTAGCCAGTGGCCTAAACCACTACTACTCAGAGTAAACACTACCATAGGTTTCCTCTGGTTCTCTCCTGCAGTTATTATTAAGTATGGTGACCTGTCCAGAGAGATGCTTTGTGTCTTTGTGAGAGAAGTGGGATTAATTTACTCACCAGGTGGGCTTTTTCTTTGTTTTCTAGTCAGTTTAGGAAACAGGAAGGGGAGAGATTACCGGAAGGGCTTACTGGTTTATTGGTACTGCTGGGAGGGGCAAAGGGTAGTGTACACATTCCATTGTTTGGCTGTACCCATGAGCCAAACCTGGCCAGTTTATTAGCCAGGCCAGGGACAGCCCCAGTTTGAAATTTCTAGATTATTATTATTATAGCTCACATTGATCAAGTGGTCTTACGTTCCAGGTTCTTTATAAAAAAGGGGTTTTAAGGCGTTACCTCACTTAATCTTCCTCACAGTGCTATGAAATAAATATATTATGTGTAAGATGAGGATAGATTTTTATCTTTTATTTTTTGAAGAGTTAGCTTTTATGAGCAAGAATATCATTTAGATCCAGATGAGGACTTGGGGACATTTTATTGTTCTTTGACATATGCGTACGGAAAGTAATAAACCAGCTGTGTTTTAGAGCCACAGACATTGGGCCTCTGCGGGTTTTAATGTAAGAAGAGTAGTAAGGGTGGGTGGATGCTCCTGACTGGGTATTAAAGCACGTGCGTATCAGACATCAGAGCATCAAGATGCTGGTGCCGTACTAGACAGACAGACAGACAGACAGACAGACCATGGACCAAAACGATCCGGAGCTTCAGAAGCTGCCACCACACGCATATGAAGGAGTCATCTTAAGTCGGGGCTGTCATCTGTCCCGCAGATGGCGTGTGAGGTCGAGCTCTAGTTCCCATCTCCGGCCCCAGAGGAGGTTCAGATGAGCTGAGGACTTCACTGTAAAAAGTGAAAGTACGAAAAGGAAGTGTTGGTGCAAGCGGGCCGCCTAAGAAGGGGACACCCAGGGCGGATCACAGCAAGGAACACTACTACCAGATTCCTGCAGGAAGGTTGAAAGCCGTAGTGCAAATCAAAACACATCTTTTCCCTTAGCAAATAATGTGTTGGTAGTGGTCCTTAAGGTGCGGTTAAAAAAGGGCCCCAGGGGGAGTGGAGGCAAAACGCTTACTGCAGTCAGCAGTCAGCCGGAGGAACAGGGCTGGACTGGCACGCCCAGCGCTCGGTGACCGCGTAAACCGCGGACAGGCAGACAGTGGAACACTGTGCGGTCACAAAGAATAAAGATGTAGAACTAAGTGCCTTAGAAGGCCTTTTATAGTATATTAAGTGGGAGAACTCAAACAGAATGGTAGGTACCTATTATTCTACTTTATTTGTTTTTAAAAGTTTATGTGTGTACTTTTACAGAAGGAAAAGTCTGCAAGCATGAATGCCCAGATGTTAGTGATGGCTTTCTCTGCTCATGAGACTTGGGATGCCATAAACTTTATTTCTTTTCTTCTTACTAAACTTTATTTCTTTTCTTCTTACTTAACTCTGAGTTCGTTTGTGGTTGTTTTTTTTTTTTCTTTTTCTTTTTCTTTTTTCTTTTCTTTTTTTTTTTTCATTTAGGAAACTTTGTTCAAGCTAGTCCTGTGATCAGCTATTGTGTTTTCTAAAATGATAATGCATTACTTGTACAACGAAGCTTTGGTGTCATGTTTTAGGAAGGAAATTAAAATTTAGAATTTTTTTTTATTGAGTGATTAAAATAATTCCTTGGTCATTAAAGTGATACGTTCAGTTGTTTGGAAAATCCATTTATCTGCAACATTTTATTCATGGAAGGTACAGAATAAAATGAGACATGCCTTGACTGGTGTGGCTCAGTGGGTTGGATGCTGTCCTGCAAAGCAAAAAGGTCACCAGTTCGATTCCCAGTCAGGGCACAAGCCTGGTTTGTGGGTGCAGTTCCCAGTTGGGGTGCGTGTGAGAGGCAGCCAACTGAATGTTTCTCTCCCTCCCTTCCCCCTCTCTAAAACTAAAATCTTTGTTGAAAAGGTAACTTTTTTAAAAAAAGAGAGACATGAGTGTAATGTGCTGACACAGTCACCCAAAACTGATCTTACTAAGAGAAATTATTTTCACGTATATGAAACTGGTGAGTCATCTCTGTTCAGGGTGGTCCATCACATGGGGAGAGATGCTGATTGTATGTTCTTCGCGGCTTTGTACTTGAATCAGAAATGAGGGTCACGTAGGTTCACCGTGAAAGAAACAGGTTTTTCGTGGTGAGTAGCCAGAGGTGCATATTTTAAAACACTTCTGTGCAATTCCAGGCAACTGCAAGAACAGCAGCGGCAGAAGGAGCTGGAGCGGGAAAGGCTGGAGAGAGAAAGGCTGGAGAGGGAGAGGCTGGAGAGGGAGAGGTCGGAGCGGGAGAGGCTGGAGCGGGAGCGCCTGGAACAGGAGCAGCTGGAGAGAGAGCGGCAGGACCGCCTGGAGCGGGAGCGGCTGGAGCGGGAGCGTCTGGAGAGAGAGCGTCTGGAGAGAGAGCGCCAGGAGCAGCTGGAGCGGGAGCAGCTGGAGTGGGAGCGGGAGCGGAGAATAGCCACCACTGGTAAGGAGTTTGCCCGTCATGCGTGGTCTTGGTATCGGAGCTTGGAGGGTGGGTGGTGTTTGGAGGAGTCATGTATTACGATATCTCACACTCGAGATGCTGGGGATTAAGCAATACGATCAGAAATTATGAAAAAGTTCATAAAATAGCAATTGCTACTTTCACATTTTTCTTTTTATTTCTCTCTGTATTGCTTTTATTGCTTGGAGACTTAAAGAAAGCCCTTGGAAAATTTTTTTTCTGGCATTCTAACTGTTCTAACTCCCTATGAATTGGCTATGAGGTATAAGTGTTTTTGTGAATTTTCTTATATTGGAGGAATTTGGGCTGTATTTCCCTTTAGAGGTTTGCTTAAATTGTCTTGACTGCTGTATTATTATAACGCAGTTCATCAAGACATTTGCCTAATTGTTTCCTAAGTTTTTGAATGAGGAATTAAAAACAGTCGGTGAAAAATATCTTCTCTAAAACTGACGAGTTATTTCAATATATTTTTTAGTATTGTGAAAGTTATTAAACGATGGAATTTATGAAAAGACTCGTGGGTTAAATAAGTATGACTGAAAGTTTGAGGTCTTTTGACATTGGCTGAAATGAACATTTATTCTGGGATTTAACCATTAGTTTTTATTCCGTATGCCTATATGAAAAATCTCAGCGTGGGCTGGTTAAATACTGGTTGACTGGTTTGTTGTTTGACCTAACTTTTGGCCTTTACCTCCCTAGTTATTTTGGGGGGTTATAGCCAACAAAACAACACTTTTCCACAAATAAGCATTGAATAGAAAGTTCCTCTGCCTTTATAATAAAGGTTTGCCAATTTGGCTGCTTGTTCTATTAAAAAAAAAAGCGGAACTTAATTCTTCAGTTTGTAGCCCTTATTCGTGTAATCTTAATGTACTTTTTTGGTGGACTGAAAAAGGGAAATTAAGACCCCGGTGCTGTGCTTTTCATGTAAAGGATAAGCTAATCAGTTTAAACGACCAGCCTGCCCATTAGATGGAAAGGAACCTCCTTCGTCCTCTCCTGGACCCCAGCAGTGTGTTCACGAGTGCAAATGTCCTCGGGTGGAATCGGTTACTTGCGCACGTGCCAAATTCTCTGTACTAACTGTAGTCTACTTTTATACATTTTTGTCTGAATGCTGGTTTTGTGGCTTTACTAGCTCCCTTTTTCTCTCTCCTTTTTTATCCTGTCTTTCGCTGCCGCCTCCCACCTCTGTCCAGCGCCACCTTCCGACAGCTCCCCGCATAGCGCTCCACTTCCCGAGTGTGCCAGTTGCCAGCCGCCTCCGGCACCTCCTCCACCTCACGCTAAAGTCATCTCGGCTGCAGTGCCAGAGGCCACTCCTGATCACGCTGTAGTGACCGCTTTGCCACCTACTTCCACACCCCCCACGCCGCCGCTGCGGCACCCGGCGGCACGTTTCGCCACCTCCTTAGGGTCAGCCTTCCACCCGGTCCTCCCCCATTACGCCGCAGCTCCTCGCCCTCCAAGCAAAGCCTCTCGGCCTTCTTCTCCCGCGAACACACCCTCTTCTCAGCCTCCAGCCGCGAAGCCCGGTGCCTGGCCCACGTCCGGTTTCTCGCCCCTCCCTCCCTCCCCCCCAGTAGTGATCAGCAGCCCCCCAGGCAAAGCCGCGGGGCCCAGGCCTGTCCTCCCTGTCTGTGTTTCCTCTCCTGCGCCCCCAATGCCTCCGTCGCCAACGGCACCCGACGGGCTGCTTGACTCTGTCGCGAACCCAGTGTCTCCGCCGCCTACCTCAGGGCCAGCGCCGCCGCCGCCGCCACCTCCCCTCGCACCGCTGTCACCCTGCGGACCGCAAGCCTCTCCTCCTCCGAGCACCCCTGTTGCCTCAACTCCCTCATCCAAGCCTAGTGTTCTCCCTTCTCCCTCTGCAGCTGCCCCTGCCTCTGTGGAGACTCCTCTAAACTCTGTGCTGGGAGACTCCTCTGCTTCTGAGCCAGGCTTGCAGGCAGCCTCTCAGCCGGCCGAGACTCCAGCCCCACCGGGTAAGGCTCCCGTTATCATCGCTGCGAACCGCCGGTCCCCTGAAAATGCCCCGTGTCGGCATCCGGGATGGCCCGGAAGCCTGGGGAGGGGGGTTTTGACGGTCGAACCCCTCGGTGCCACGGTACCGTATTTTTTTCTAATGGACAAAATTAGCGTGGTTTTCTTTTCTGCTGTCTTCATCGTCTCTGGAGGATCGATAGGGGGAATTTTCACACTGAACTGGATTTTGGCATCTTCAGCAGGATCATAAGGGGAGGTGTTTTCCAGTATTTAAAGGCTTCCTCAGTACATTTCTCTTCAATTTCACTGGAAAGATAGCAATGCCGTGCTTGAACCACGCAACACGTGTGTGTTCCGACTTGTCTCCCTTTCGTTTCGGTAGGCCCTAGAGGTTGACGTAGTGCCCTGCTGTGGTGGTTGCGTATGTGTCATCCATCCTAGGGTCCCCGCTGCAGCAGTTCCGATCCTGACCCTGTCTCACTTTGGTCCTGTCTCTCCCGCGTTGAGTTCCTGTGCTGGGCTTCCAGGGCCGGTGCTCCCCCAGCCCTGTGGAGGAGCCTCCCTTCGCAGCAGCGGGTGGACAGGGTGGCAGGCTGGGTGTCCGCCCCAGAGGGTTCCGGGGTCCACAGTTACAGGCAGTCGTGGGCTAGAGAGATCGTTGAGAGAGAAGAGCATCTTCTGTAGTTACTCCTTCCCCCATCCCACCCCCTTGCCCGGACCTCGCTGTCATGGTAACATACTTCTCAGTATGGATTATTTGTGAGTAGAGAAGGGCCTGGCTCTGGAAGTAAATACGAAGATGCTTAGCAACCCTCCCCGCCCCCCCCACCCCACCCCCTTTTTAAATAGGATTTAGCAGGAATTACCGGAAGGAATAGGACAAGAAGTTGGTGCTTACAAAGAAACAGTGTCAGAGTCTGGATTCAGATACTCCTCTTTTTAAAAATCCTAGTTCTCAAGATAAGGCTCGTTATTGCTACGTATATATTTTTCTCATCGACGCCTCAGATTTGCATAAACACTGAGCCAGAATTCTAGCTTAGCTCGCTGTGGCCGTAGTGCGGGCCAGGGAGGCACCATTACTAGCCAGACCGGGGCAGGCGGCCACTCCCGGGAGACCTGCGGCGGCCCTGCACTCTGGGCTCTTCGGGGAGTGATCTCGGTTTTCAGCTTGCGGACCTGCTCGAAGGCAGCAGTCTCAAGAGATGTCCCCCCCCCCCCCCCGCCCCAGCGTGCAAATGGCATTTTGTTTGTGCTAAAACACCCCCTTTAACGCTAAAGGAAGGGAGTACCTCCTCGTTGGGTTTTCTGGTAATAAGTTCTTCCTCACTCTCTGTGATTTTAGAACAGTTAGACATTTTTCTCTTACTCTGTCTTCTAGCCTAAAACACCTCTGTGCTTCAACCTCTACGTCACCTAATGATTTCTGGTCATTATTTTTAGCTTTTTAATTGTGTAGATTCTTTAACTTCAGTGATTCTTACTTCTCTCTGCACGTTGGAATTCGATCTGTAGTGATTTAGGGTGTTGGTGCCTGGGACGCAGCACCCTCGATGTTCTCAGTCCGGCCCCTTTGGCCGCCTGCAGACACACACACACACACACACACACACACACACACGTGTTCTCGCTGCTGTAGAACTTGTCTCAACACCCAGGGTTTGCACAGGTTAGTGGGGGTTATTTCAAGTAGCACTCACAGCCATCACATACAGTGGCTTCTTTTTTCAGGGATACTGACTTCCAAATTTTATAAGCATTTACTTTGTGTATTTACCAAATCCCCAAGGACAAAAAAGAAATTCTGATTAAATTAGGTGATCTGTTGCGTAGTTCTAGTTCATAAGGCTCTAACATTAAAGTAAGTAGTTGTACACTTTGTTTTTATATTTTAGTGTCTTTTTAATACTGACCTAGACTTGGAACATTATGATAAGCTCATTAATATGTAGTGAATGTTGGAGTCATCCATTAAATGTAGCATGGCAGTCTGCCTACAGTTCCACGTAAGGCATGGTCATGTAGCTCTGTCGTTGACGGTCTCATTTAATGTTTCTTTCTCTCAGGCGTGGTCTTGGGACCACCTGCACCTCCGCCCCCTCCTCCACTCCCACCAGGTCCTGCCCAGGCTTCCGGGGCGCTCCCCCCTCCCCCAGGACCACCTCCTCCTCCTCCTCCACTTCCCTCCTCAGCGCCTCCCCCACCCCCTCCTCCACCCCCTCTCCCTAACCAGGTCCCCCCCTCCTCCCCCCGCCTCCCGCTCCTCCCCTCCCCGCCTCTGGATTTTTTGCGGGATCCATGTTGGAAGACAATCGCCCCTTGACTGGACTGGCGGCTGCAATTGCTGGAGCAAAACTTAGGAAAGTGTCACGGGTAAATGCGCTTCCAAATTACTGTGTTTTTATGTGTGTCTTGTTCTTGCTCAGTACCTAAAATGCTGAATTTAACACGCTCTAATTTTGTGAATCCTATGTTAACAACTTCATTGGAAAATTTTTTAAAAATTGAAAAGATTTTTAAAAATGGAAAGAATTTAAATTTAGGGGGAATGTTGCCAGGATAATATAATTTCTGTAAAGCCAACTGCTGGCCTCACCAGTTAATATTTTACTGTATTTCCTTTACTCTTTTCCCCATGTACGTTTCCTTCTACTTAAACACAGACACTTTTCTTTTTGTCTCAACTGAGAGTAAGTCCGAGAGAGCGGGTCCCGAGTCCCCTAAATACTCGGTTGTATGTTTTGTAAGACTAGGGGCATTCCCCTGTGTGACCACAGAGTAATTACCAAAGTCAGGACACGTTACTGATAGAATACTGTCATCTACAAGTCTATTTGAATTTCATGTGCTATCCAGTCATGTCTTTTCCTGTCAGTTTTTTGCTAGTCCAAGATCACTCATTATATTTAGTTGTAGTGTCTCTTTAATGAGCTTTAATCTGTAGCAGTTCCTCGGTTTTTCATGATACTGGCATTTTTGAAGACTGCAAAATCATTATTTTGTGGCTCACCCTTTAGTCTGGTTTATCTGACGTCCCCTCAAGAATAATTCAGGTTGTGCGGTTTGGGGGTGGGTTACGCATTTTTTTTACCCCCAAAGTAACGTGTCCTGTTCAGTGCAGCACACGCAGGGCTGTGCGGGGCGGTGTCCCCGTGACGGGTGATGTCGGCTCTGAGACAACTCGTGTCACCATATAATAAGGCCAGTGCTGTTCACCCTACTAGTTCTTACGAGGTTTTAAAAGAGAGGTTCTTTATTGAGGTTAATGCTGATGTATTCTGTTGTGACTATAATAGAGTCGTAAACACAGTATCGCTTGACACAGGAGTTTACTATGTACGTATGTTTCCTTAAGATGGAGGATGGCTCTTTCCCAAGCGGGGGCAGCGCTGCTGGCGTGAACGCGGCCCCATCCAAGGCAGACGCGGGCCGTGGAAACGGGCCCCTCCCCCTGGGGGGCAGCGGGCTAATGGAAGAGATGAGCGCCCTTCTGGCCCGGAGGTGAGTGAGGGAGCCGTGCGCTCGTGGTCCGAGGTCAGGGTCTTGTCTTACTTTTCTTCCAAAGTGTAATTGAACTAGATGCAGTTCTTCCCTCTCGGGTTAGCTTTCCTGCTGAGATGGATGATGTTTGTAAAATACCACTTGCCTGCTTTGTAGGAGAAGAATCGCCGAAAAGGGATCGACGGCAGAATCGGAACAGAAGGAGGACAGGAACGTGAGTGAATGCGGGCCGCCCGCTCACCTGGGAGGGCGAGGCCCCAGCACGCGTGGCTCCTCCAGGGGCTCGTGTCAGAGACCGGCTGGACCCCAATAAGAACTCGCCGTGGCTCAGTTTTGTGCTCCTCGGCTATTAACAACGGCTTGTCATGAGTGTTACGATTTTAATGACATTCCTAGTGAGACGTGGGGTTGTGGGGAGAGCCCCAAGTTCAGGCCTGGGAGTTCAGTTCTTGACCCACGCCTCACGTGAAATGAGGGAACAGTCTGTCGCTCGGTTTTTTGGGGTCTTGGCTTTGGTTTCTCCCCTGAGGGTCCCCACCTCCTTGCGTTTGAAATGGAGGACTGAGACTGGGTCAGCAGTGTGCAGGTGTCTCCCCCGGGAGCCTGGGGTCCTCAGCTCTTGCCTCCCCCGCCTCCCCGGTTCAGCTGGGCAGACTCCGCTTTGTCTGCTGCGAAGCCTGGTGTCTGACAAACAGTGGGATTGTTTCTCCCGCTCCACCGGGCCCGCGGGGGCACCGTTCCTCGGGTCCGTCGCCTCCGTCCGGCCTGACAGCGCGGGCCAGGCCGTTCCCAGCGAGAACACCCGTGGACGGGAGCCGCGGGGACCGGCACGGGAGATGCTGGGCGGGCGAGAGCAGGGAGAAGCCTGTAAGGCCGAGGAAAGAACAAGTGGGGAAGCGGCGGAGAGGGTATTGGAGGTGGAAGTACAGACTAACTACGAACGACGGGCTTGTGACATCGTTAATACTTGTTTCTGTGTGTTTAGGAAGATTCAGAGCCCATAACGTCTAAGGCCCCTTCAACAAGCACGCCCGGTAAGTGCAGGAGGTACAGTTGAACTTGACAAACCCACTCTGTGCGGTGATGCTTCCGTTTCCCCGCGTTTGGATCGAGTGACTGCTCGGTTACCAAGACGTTAAAGGTTTTGTCCACACTCGAAAGCACTGGCCTTTTCCCTCTCTTCTCTGCCTTCTGTTGTCCGAGAAGCAGCTGGAAGTTTCTTTTTGATGCTGGGAGACCCATTAAAACCCCAAGTTTTTCTCTGATGAATCTTCCTTTGAAAATCATAATGTTTACACATTTTCTGTGTATCATTCATAATGGGTTGAGGTTATTCACTAAAACAAAGACAGTGTGTCATCAGGCGAAAGGGAAGTATTTTTAATAATTGATTCTTAAAGGTAAAGATTGACCATGTTGGCTAGCACTGTCTCTTTCCAAACATTCTCACTTTGAGAAGGTTATCATTTTACCCACCCATATGGCTAACAGTGACCATCAAGGAAATAAAGCTCCTGATTGGTAAAAGGAAACGTTTTTTTAAAACTTCCAGGAAACATCCTTGAATGTAGTGAAATTGAGAGCTCTTGGGCATAGACTATATTACTTAGAATATTAACGAAATGTATTTCACTGGAGGTGCTTAATGAGCACTGTCCCCACATGGGGCTGTGGCATTGCTAGGTAGTCTCAAGCCAGTTCTTCATATTTGACTAAAAGGTTAGGGGGCGGACTGTGCCCTGCCGTGTCTAATGTGGGATGAAGCAGCATACATCTGATGATTTTGATGGATTCATATCCAGAATCGATCCACAGGAAACCACTATAGAGAAATGCCTACATTAATTCCTACCTACATAGTTTGACTTAGAGACTACCAGTGCCTCTGAGTTCCACTTTTTGGAAAGCATACTTTTGTCTTTGTTTTGACGGTTGTAACCTGTTTGTGAGAAAAGAAATCATTCTCATGATTGCAGTGACCGCTCAGCAGTCAGACTGCTGGGTGGTAATTGACACCGTGACTTTGCGAACGGTTTTCCCTCAGCTCTGCTCGTTTCTCCTCTGGACAGGGCTCAAGTCAGTTTACATTATCGTTGTCAAAAAACTGTCTGGTTTGTGACCTGTGTGTCTTAGCTTTATCTTTCTTTTATAAGCCAAAATTAATTATATATGCTGTTATTAACACCCTCGATGTTTAAAAACTCAAGTACAATTTAGGGTCACAGAACCTTTTAAAATTTGAAAACAATAGAAATCCTCTCCCCAAGGAAGGAAAAATCATATTTTTTTACAGATTTGCTCATAATTTCAAAATTTATATGAATTCCCTGAAGGTTATGCGTAGACTCCTAGTTAACAGCTCCTTAATATATACCCCTTATTTAAGATGCGGGAAACCGAAGCCGGGTTTTCCATTGGTTCTGTGCGTGTTTGCGTGTGTGTTGCCATAGGTGATAAACCGAGGGTTTGTCCAGAAGGGCTGCGGCTTCTTTTTTCACTTCTTTCATTGAGGGTTGTTTTTTTTTTTTTCTTAATATGCATTGTGCCAGATACATGACGAGTCAAAAAGGCCTTGGGCACCAGCTGGGAAGATGAGAGACACATACACACACACACACACACACACACACGAAAAATTAATCTTTTACATCCACGTGTTACATATTAAGTAATGTGTCAGAGAGGAAGGACATTGTATCGTCTGGGGTCACCTGGGCATCTCTAGAGAAAAGCGACTTCTTACCGTGTGTTGGAGGGAATTCGGTCTGGCTGGACGTGGAGGAGGGTCGCTGCTGCACGGGTAGGGAGCCGGAGATGAGCAAGAAGAAGCTTGCCTGCCTAGAGTGGAGAGTTTTCTGTGTACTGGGGGGAAAGTTTGGAAGAGTGAGTATGAGAACCAGACTGTGGGAAGCTTTTTATGAGAAGATCAGGAGTTTGGTTCTGCTGGGCACCTCAGTTGGTGGTTGGAGTGTTGTCCCGATGTGCCGGGGTTGCAGGTTCGATCCCTGGTCTGGGCACATGCCAGAGGCAGCCGATGAATGCATCAGTAAGGGGAACAATGAAAAATCTCACTTTCTCTCTCTTTCTCTGCCCTCCCCCACAATCTCTCTTAAATCGTTTACAAAAAAAGAAAAGATCAATAATGTAGGCTTAACCTTGCAAGGAGTGGGTTGATGGTTTAGGAACAGTAAAAATGGCAGCAGTGAGCAGTGTGACACGGGAATCGGGGAGGGCCGAGAGGGGAAAAACGTCTCAAGGAGGATCCAGTGCCGTTCCAGAGACCTGCTGGCGGTGACCCAGCCCGTGTCCTCCTTCCTCAGACTGACCTGGGCCCCCCCCCCAGAGAGAGGGCAGCCTCTCTGTCCACACAGCTGCACTGACCTGCTCCTTCCCAACACCGGAGGGGCCCTTCTGAGGTTAGAAGAGGATCTGGCTGATAGAGAAAGACCTCGCCCCCCTGCTGAGTGTTAGCGCTCACTACACCATCGCATGCTGGACTTCTTCATCCCTCCACATGCCTCTTCTTTGGTGTCAGTGCCCTGGTGGCTGTCCCCCTGCCTGTCCAGCTGTCTGTCCTTCGTTTCTATTCAGGACCTCCCTCTTTGTACCTACTCCGGCAGATGTCTCTTGGACATGTTTCTGTCCCTCCTGGACCTGTTCAAAAGACAGAGATGGATGATTGGTCGACAAGCAAAGCCACATGGGCGGTGACTCGAAGGTTTCACGTGTAGATGACCGAGTGCAGCAGCAGCCCAGAACAAAACTAGTGTTTCGGGGAAGAGTGTGAATTTACTTTGCCTGCGTGTAGTTTAGAGAGGGAGCAAGCTGCTGCCTAGATGAGAGCATGAGGCCGCCAACTGAGGGAGAGCATCGGAACGAGGGGTTTCCTGGTTAAAACAGCACCCCGAGGTCCCAGCTCGTACTTAGACTTGATTCTCGGGTGGCCAGATGCTTCCCCGTGACAGGGTCCCACTGCCGGTGTCAGCCAGTTGGTCAGCGAGGCCGGGGACAGCATCAACGACTCAGCCCAAATTAGAGCAGCGCCTCGCGGCATGGGAGACTGCTGACCAGCGAGTCCCTGCACGGCTTTTGCAGAAGGAGCTGACAGGGAACTCACTCACATTTAACTGGAGTGCTCTGCTGACGCCCAAGAATTGGTTTCTTTGGGAGTCAAGGAAGTACAATAGAACTGCATGGTTACGAAATCTATTTCCAGTTGTTTGAATTTTTTTTTTCCAAAAGGACTGTTTGAATTTAGATTAAATGTCAGAATTTATCACGACATTAAAGATTTTACTTTTTATTTGTTTTACTTTTAGCACTAAAAATAGTTTAAAATAGTATGGTGGTACTGTCCCAGTCTAATAAACTTACACTATCTTTTAATTTAAAATAATTTATACTGTATCATAACTACTTAAAAACATCATACTCTTATTCTGATCATCCTGTCTTTACCAGAGAAACTTCTTTCCGTCCGGTGTACAGGGGTGTAGTATTTTCAGTTTGACAATCGAGTGTATCCCAGTGAAACTTATCACACTTGGCCTTTCTTCTCTTTTGAAGGTCTGGAATTGTTCAAATTCGAATCCTTACAGATTTTAATTCAAGTTCAGAATCGAAATTAAAATTTTCTTACTTGCCTGTATGACTACATAAGCCTGTATAACGGTATTTAGTGATTTATTAGTTGTTTTGCCGTAGCTCTGGGAGCACGCGGGATGTTTAATAACCTGTGTTCTTTATTTTTAAAGAACCGACGAGAAAACCCTGGGAAAGAACAAACACGATGAACGGCAGCAAGTCACCTGTTATCTCCAGGTACCAGTGTTGTTTTCTACGTGTTACATTACACTTTCACCTCAGGAGGAAGTTGACGCCGCCTACATTTGTGTGGCAGAAACAGTGGGTGGTGGACTTGAACTTGGGCAGTGGAGCAGAGAACACCCCCGTGTTCCCACTGCCGTTAGACAAACGCTGGGCTCCTTTGCATTTCCACTAGTGAAATTCCACTGTCTGAATTCTGCCCCACGCGCTCGGCCGGCCAAGTTGTCTGAAATTTAGGTAGCTAAATTTTTTTTATTTTGAGAGCTTCAAATGGACAGATAGCACAGTGAACACCCGTAGCCCCATCACCGAAATGCCCCGGTTATTAACATTGTGCCCCATTTGCTGGGACTCTTATCTACACACGCACACGTTTTTTTCCCCTCTGAACAGCAGTAAGGCATTTGCCAATATTTGTTGCTTCCCCCTGAAGACTCTTTGTGTTTTGTCCTAAGAACCAGGACATTCTCTTAAGAAACCTCAATACAATTGTCACTCTCAAGAAATTTCACGCTGAACAAAATAATATTACCATGCGTAATATGTTCCCATTTTCCCATTAGTCTGAATGACATCCTGTATTTTGTCATTGTAATTTTTGAAAGTATTTTAAACTGAAAAGCAGCTGGAGAGAAAAGACTACAGTGTTTATGAGAGAGCAAAAGAAAATCCTGAATTGGTAAAGTAGAAAGATTTTTGCTCTCTCTGTTCAAACTTCTAATTATAATCGAGTCAGAAAAAACAGTGCCCAGAAACAAGAGTAGTTAATTCGTGTTTCTCCGAGTGGCCTTGTGTCCATGGTCAAGGGGATTCAGTATTCCTTAGCTGAGCACACTGTATCATCATAACTAAATTTAGATCACGGGTTTGGAACACAGAGGAAGATTTGTTTTGGTAGATGAGGTAGTTGAAAGGTCTCCCCGAAACGAAAGCTATTTTTCCTAGACACTAAAGAGTTTTTTCCCTTTTCTTTCTGAGCCATTTGCCTTAGTTTTGCCTCGTAAGGTGCAAACTTGACTTACAGAAGTCTAATCAGGAAAAACACGGGGACGGACCTCGTACTGTCACTGGTCTGTTCTGCGTCGGCCTCAGTCTAAATCGGGGCTCGTGACGCTGAGGTTCTCCTGGTGGCGACGGGGTTTGCCCAGGTCACTGCTGCCTGAGCACCCCGAGGAAGCCGGGCCTTTTTGGACCTGTGGGTGCTTGTAGTTTCTCAAGGGACTGGAAGAGGGCCCGGCAGACGTAAGGCCTGCTGGGGTGTGGTTGGTAATAACGTGGGTGTAATAATTTATAGTTGGAATTCAGACGTTTCACCTGAGATGTCCTGTGGGGTGCTTGCGTGTGAGATATCGTTGCATTACAGAGTTACACGCTTCTGATTGGGTGTTTCAGGAGGGGCGTTATTTGTGCCTGACCCTGTGTTTGACTGTAGAGCAGAGGGCAGGGATTTGTCTCGGTGCACGTGTTTTTCCAGTGTCTGCGACGCCTAGCCCCGACGCGCAGTCTCTGAGGGCGGGTTGGCCCCAGCCCACCTGGGGTCGCCCCTGGGAAGCTCGTGGGCCACGTGCTGATCGGAGAGCGGAGCTGCGGTGCGCCGTTCTCCTCTGGAGGCGGGAGTTGTGACGGGGAGGATTCTTTCTCCTCTCTGCCACCGCTTTCCATCATCGTGAGCCTGCCTGCAGCTCAACCGAAATTCCCAGATTCCTGGCGGAAGTGTCTTAGAAGGGACAGGGAGAGGTTCTCCAAGTGGATGGTGCTCCTCGACGGGTTCGCGTCCATTCAGTGCAGGAAAGACTACCTGAAGGATTGATTCTTCAGACTTCGCCTAAAGGAAGTCTAATAAGCGTTCTGAAGGCCGCCATTTGAAACGTATTTTTGTATATAGATCGAGGAAATACTGGTTCTCATTATCCAGTGGGTGCATTGTGGTCGCGTTCTGACTTGTAGGTGGTTTTCCTCTCCTTTCCCCAGATAGGAATTCTGAAACGCCTGATTGTCTCCTGACCACTGCTACAGCTTTCGATAGATGCGATGCAACCACCACTATGTGTGGTGTGTGTCTTAACGCTCCGCTGCAAGCACTTTTCAGCCATAAGCGATTTTAAAAATATGTCTAAAAGATAAGAAGTGTGTTCCTTTTCTTCCTAAGTCATCTCCCCCGCTCCCTCTGGAAGTACGTACACTGGCCACTTTGTGTCTTTATTTAAGTGTGCCTTACCCTCGCGTGGCGGTGAAAATACCCCTTTCCCTCCCGAGTCTCCGCGCCGTAACCGGCACGTGAATGTCCTGTGATCACACGCAGGAGATGCCGCCCTCACGCTGGAGTTACTAAACGAAGACATCGGATAGTAGGGGACACACAAGGCTGTTGTGGTCAAAAATGCTTTAACCTCGGACTGGAATGAAATGCTGGGAAGTTTGTGGTTTCTTCCTGCGGTGTTTGCGAAGGGCTTGCAGGTCGTGTGTTCGAGATGGAAAAAATGTCCTCTGTGTGACCCCTGAGAAGAGTTACTTTCTCTACTTCAGGCCACGATGATTTTTATTGTGCTTTTATTTGAGACCGTGTAGCATTATATTTAGTCTAATAGAAACGTCTTTGGGTTTTGGTACATGCTATAAATCTTTGTGTTGACATCTCACTGTGTCTGTAGTCTATAAAAATGATTTAAAAAGTTCTCTGTGATTTAAGTCAACAGTATCCTCACATAATTAGAATTAGTCTCCAAATACCTTCTATTTTTGTTGGAAAAACTCATTTTAAGGTTAGTGGACTCCTTTCGTTCTTACTTTGTTTGCTAAGACTAAAAAACCTGTAAAAAATAGCATAATGAGAAATACTTTTCCAAGTTCTATTGTATGCCCCTTTACATGGTCTCTCCCCTTCGTAGACGGGATTCTCCAAGGAAAAGTCAGATTGTTTTTGACAACAGGCCCTATGACTCATTACACAGGTACCCCCCGATGTGCCTCTGTGGTTTGAGACTTCTAAATAACGCGTTCAGGCGTGGGCTGAGCTTTTTCTACCCGGATCAGTAATCACCACGGGGGCGACACCTAGGAAGATTGGCTCTTGCGTGTTCAGCTTTTTACCTAGAACACTTCTTTAAAACTTCTGAGAGATTTGAGTTAGAAAAATGAGTAGTGTTCATTTCCCCAGCATCACCGTATAGTTGGGTTAGGACAAGGGTAAATGGTAAACGTATCAGAAACACTAGCATGAGAATCTGAGGCCACACACATCCGGGCTGTTTGTAGGTTGTGTGTGTGGGACAGGGCCTGTAAAAAGGGGAGCACCGGATCCTGTGCTGTCCGACGCCGGAGCATGGGGCGGTAGCACGGCCCCGGCTGTGGATAAGGCATTTTTTAAGGGGAAACCTCTGTTTTCTGGATACTTTGTTGTAAATTGAGTGTCTTTGACAACCTAGCATCTAACATCCCGAACAGATGATTTGTCTTCTAGGATGAGTCCTATTATTCCATTTTTTCAATTAAGAAAAACTTAAGTTGTGAACCATGTATTTCTTTCTTCATTGAAAAAATGGCAATTTAAAAAAAATCCCCAAGTGCTTAAGTTATACTGAGAGTTAATTTGGCAGGATAGGGATATAAATATTATAATATATCTGGAGGCAACACTGTTGTTATAAAGTAACAAAAACCTCTGAGAAACCCTCATGTTTTGTTACCATTTACGGTGAAAACCACAGATTAAGAATAACTGAGATCTGTGCATGTTATTACCCGTGTCTGTTTTTAAACCTGCACACCAGGTCTCCCGGGAACTCGAGCTCGGTGTCCCGGCTTATGGGAGGGGTGTCTGGGGCATGAAGAAAGGTTCCGTCACCAGGCTGTGTTTGGCCAAAGTGCTGTCAGCTAAAGCTATTTTCATGGCATCGATGATGAACATACTTGATACGTTTATTTCATTAGCCCGTCAAATCTGCATATAATAGTCAACTCATTTTTTTCTGCCTTTTTCTGAGGTTATTTACTTTTTACAGCCCACAGCCTAAAACTTACTAGTAGATAGAAAGACGGCACTGGCGATGCAGTTGTCTGCTGCAGTCTTCCCGGGTGTCTTGCTGCTTCGCACACAGTGTCTCCCGGGGCAGTGTTGTCCATAGACTGTTTTCAAAGTGGTGATTACTTCTTTCCTTCAGTATGAAAAGTTCCCGCCTGTAGTTAACTGTCGTGGTGGTGGTGGTGGTGGTGGTGGCAGTGGTGGTGGTGTTGGTGGTGTTGGTGGTGGTGGGTTGCATGTTAGCATGAATTCCTTTTTTTTAAGAACTGCATGTTTCCACAATTACTGTATAACAATAATCATTTCTTGCATTGTTCAGTAAATACGGATATCCTGGTAGCATACGGCCTGGTTAGGTAACAGGTGGTAGTTATTCCCGTGAGTTTGAGGGTATTCGTTTTATAACGTAGGAGAAAACGTTCAGCCCGTTGTACCACGTACGAATGGACAGTAAAAGAAAAGGCACGGCAGTGAAGGACTGAATTCCGGAGCGCAGGAGTGGGTAGCGTGGGCAACCGAAGTGCGCAGCGTGTCAACCTTAGGGACACGGCACTAGACCAGGCTGCTGTACACAGAGCACCGCGACTGGCCTGCTGTGGCCCACGGTGCGTCCTGAGTGGCCGTGGCCCCGAGCGGTCTCCTCCGCAGAGTGAGAAGTGCGCCCTCCCTAGAGGCGAGGAGATGGGTCGTGTAAATCTTCTCCCCCCACAGGGCCTCCCTCCGTGCTGCTTGCGTGCAGCTTCCCGAGGGTGGTTTTCCTCGCTCCCGTGAGCGCATGCAACATCTGATGCGATGCAGTTGGCTGGCCTGCTTCACGCCACCTCTTAGGCAGTCACGTGTTTGACGTTAAAGCAAATCGACCCAGTATCTCATCTTCGCGGGCAGAGCCTGTGGGTTGGACATACAACGTGCCTTATGAGAATGAATGCAGTTAGGACTTTGTGAAAGTCGTTAGTGCCCGTTGAGTCTTGGCTCAGGCGCTCCGGCAGAACTGCGGTGAGCCGACTGACGGCTTCCTCTGCCCGAGTTGTGGCCTCACAGCCCCGAACCAGGGGGTTCCCCTCTCAGTGTTTCCTCCTGTTGCCAGGCTCGGGGAGGGAGGGAGCCGTGACCGGCTTAGTTGATACTGAAACTTTTTCTTGAAATATACCCAATCCTGAAGATTTCTTTCTTCTGTGAAAATTTTAATAGAAGCTAAACTTTTTTTAAAATACATTTCTCATTCTTTTTTTTAAACTACATTTCTCTTTTTTTAATGATTTTTTAAAGATTTTATTTATTTTTAGAGAGGGAAGGGAGAGAGACAGACAGACAGACATCAATGTGCGGTTGCTGGTGGTCATGGCCTGCAACCCAGGCATGTGCCCTGACTGGGAATCGAACCTGCGACACTTTGGTTCACAGCCCAAGCTCAATCCACTGAGCTACGCCAGCCAGGCGAAGCTAAACTTTTGAAAGTGCAATAATCGACAATCAGCTTCTGTGTGGCATTTTCTTTTTAAAAAACAAAACAAAGCAAAACGAGTGCATGGGAGTGGTCAGCCAGAACACACCGTTCAGACGCTCTCTCCACCGAACTTCATCCGGAAATGGGCACATTGCCAGTTGGATGTGAATACACTTTCAACATGATCATCATTTTCCCAACATGTTTTATTCTTTTTTTTAATGTTTGAAATGGAATTAAAAAGTACATAGAAATTGTGCTTGCTGAAAAATCCCTCCCCCGCCCCCACAAACCAAGGTGTAGAGTCTGTAAATTGCTTCATGTTAGAGTAAGACGTTTGGGTTTACATTTTCCCTTCCACGGGTCTGGCGGCATCTGGTAGACGAGGTGCGATTTCAGAAGAAGGAGGAGAAAACAGGGACGTGTCACTGGGGCCCCGGAGGTCGCAGCTGGCCTTCCGTCTCTGTCACGATTGACACGTCACACGTTACCCGGTGACCTGCCTGATGGCCTGCCTCGTGCCCGAGGAACTGTCTTCTACTCTTCACTGAAGACGTCTTATCGTCTTAGCACCTTTCTCTTGTTTCTTTACGGATAACTGGAAATTCTGAGAAAAGCGGAAAACGCTTTCTGTGTTGTGTTCTAATCAGCCCTGCGGCTTTGATGGTGTGACCCAATGCGTTTTGGGAAATGGGTTGAAATCTGGGGCTGGGTTGGTAAATTCACAGGGACTCACGAACTCTGTAGATTTCCCGAGTGTTGCTGACCTGTCCTGGACATCTCGTTTGCACAGACCAAAATCTGCACCCTCATCGCAGCCCAGTGCCAACGGAGTCCAGACGGAGGGCCTGGACTACGACCGGTTGAAGCAGGTGGGTGTGTGCGGGCGGCCGTCCTCCGTTGGTTTGCACCGCCCCCGGCGAAAGCATCTCGCGTGCGTGCGTGCGTGCGTGCATCCGACAGCCGTGAGTGTGCTTGAAGAGCACGTCGAGTCACGCTAGTTTTCTGCAGGTCAAACAGTGACATCAGCACCATACTGTTTTTTCAGATTCTCCTGTTCTGGTTCAGTGGGTTTGCATCAACTCTCGGCGGAGGCGGAGGGTGTGGGCGGTGGTTCAGTGGGATAGTATGAATTTTAAACGCCTGTGCCTGGTGTGTGTCTGTTTAAAGGGGGAAGCAGGCGTCCCACTTCTCACTTCCGTTGGCAAAAACGGGCCTAGCAGATCTGGCGTGAGTGAGGACGTGAGGAAAATGGGCACTCGTGTATTTTTGCATTCTCGGAAACAGTTTGGGAAAATAAATCAGAAGCCTTAAAAATGTCTCAGTTTTGACCCCATCAGTTTCACTGCTAAGAATTTAGGCTAAGAAACTGTCATAGAAGTGTGTAAGTATATACCACCAAGGCGGGCCCTGCAGGAACCCTGAGTGAGAGGATAGTTCACGGTGAATTGTGAACGCATGCCCACATTAGGTGAAACACACAGGTAACCGACACTATAGACAGTTATCTCACCTCTATTTAAAAAAAAACTGTTGTCCATATTTCAGATATATGTGCATTATATTTAATACCTATGTGCTCAGGAAAAAAGTGGAAGGAGTAATAGATGAGGAAATTGTGTGGAGCTTTAAAATATTTTATTCCAGCCCTGGCTGGCGTAGCTCAGTGGATTGAGCGCGGGCTGTGACCCAGGCATCGCAGGTTCAATTCCCAGTCAGGGTACATGCCTGGGTTGCAGGCCACGGCCCCCAGCAACTGCACATTGATGTTTCTCCCTCTCTTTCTCCCTCTCTTCCCTCTCTAAAAATAAATAAATAAAATCTTTAAAAAATAAAACAAAATAAAATAAAATTTTATTCCTATAAGACATAAAATAATTTTTTGAAAAAATTGGATAGTGTCAACAAGAATCAAAATGGCCAGCCGTGAAATCTTATTAGTCAAGTTGATCGTCCACTTGCAGACAGACCCTAGGGGTCTTTGAGGAAAAACGTCATCTTTGTGTGCTTGCTCTGCACTGCAGGTCGCCTGGGGAAGGAGTGGCGATACTGACCACTGTAGTAGCGTGGGCTGGCTCTCTGGTGGACCTCGCGCCAGACGAACATAGGGTTGGGTTCTTTGCATCGCTTTGTCCCCTGACCTCGTGGCAGCCCTGTCCTGTGGTGTTCGTGCTCAAGTTCTGCACGTACACGGTCCAGAGAAGTCCAGGTCCCTCACTCCCACAGCTAAGCAAGCAGTGAGGCAGGGTTAGAACTCAAGTCTTCCTCCCTCAGACCCCACTTTCCCCCATTCTGTCACTCGTTTTCCTCAGTGCCAGCAAATGTTCGCGCAGGGCCCGGAAAGGCCACAGTGTTGCAGTAGTGAGTTCAAAATTAACTGGGGTCACAGAGGGAAACCCTAGCGGTCATTTCAGATGAACCTAGTCTTTGTGCAGCAGAGCTCTCTGGAAAGGTAGGGGGAGTTATGTAATTTGGAAAGGAAGCGTGCGGTGTTTGATAAAGCTCTTGTGTTCCTGTGTGTTAAGTGCGCCTTTGTCTTCCCGAAAGACGTTTGGGAACAGAGCACGGGGCACACGCTTTCTGGGGAGTTCTTGGCCGGCTGAGGAGGGACAGCAGGGCGGCTAGATCCGGTCTGAGGACAGACTGTAGGGTTAGTTTGAACAAGGGTGTCCGTCAGTCCGGACCGTCGTTCCTGTGCCTCAGGTTTCTCGTCGGCGAACTGGAGGGATTAAACTACTGGATAGTTTTCAACCTTATTTTAAACAGGAAAGGCTTTTTTTTTTTTAAAGATGAACCTTAAACACAGAGCAATTTCATTTTACTTGAGGTGTATGCAATATTCAAGTCGCATCATTCAAAACTAGCCTTTCCTAAAGGTAGCTGTTGTTTTCACCATTAAAATTGTGTTACCTCATCATAGCCCTTACAGCTTTCAAATTACACAGTTCTCCTTTTTTTTTAAGATTTTATTTATTTATTTTTAGAGGGGGAAGGGAGGGAGAAAGAGAGAGAGAGAAACATCAATGTGTGGTTGCTGGGACCTTTCACTGGATGGCAGAGAAATTGGTTTAGTTTTAGGAAGCATCTGTTTCATGTCCTGCAAGGCTGGAGTCAGCAAAGATTGGGGAAAGGAAAACGATTAAAACAAAATTTCCCAGTGCTGGTCTTCTAGCACATGAATCATGACTCCAGAAACCAAAACCAAACATCGTATTTTATAGTCTCAAAATTTAATATGGGCAAGAGTCTTTTTGGCAGTCACTTTTTTTCCTGTATTCCTCATGTTTTTCTCCTAATATTTCAGGACATTTTAGATGAAATGAGAAAAGAATTAACGAAGCTAAAAGAAGAGCTCATCGATGGTGAGTTTCTAAACACATTTGGTTGGTGTCCCCATGGTTAAGGACAGCAAGTTTTTAAGCAAACAGGAAGAACAGAGACAGAATCATGGATACGGAGAGCGTTTGGATAGTTTCCAGATGGGAAGGGGGTGTGGGGGGAAGTGGGTGAGGAGGTGAGGGGATTAAGAAGCACAAATAGGTAGTCACAGAATAGCCATGGGGGTGTAGAGTCCGGTATAGGAAATGGAGTAGCCGAGGAGCTCATACCCGTGACCTATGGACAAGGACAATGGCTGGGGGGGGGGGGATTGCCCAGGGGAGTCGGGGCTGCTGGGTGAAGGGGGGCAAAGGGAGAAAATCAGGACAACTGCAGTAGCAAAATCAATAAAATAAAAATTTTTAAAAAGGATAGGAAATGTTAAGAAAATGCAAATAGTACTGGCCTGTGTGGCTCAGTTCGTTGGAGCGTTGTCCCAGAAACCGAAGGGTCGCAGGTTCTGTTCTGGGCCCGGCACACACCTGCGTTGCAGGTTTGGTCCCCCCTCCCCCCGCCTGCCCTGTCAAGGTGTGTAGCAGAGGCGACCGATGGATGTTTCTCCCCCTCTCTACCTCCCATCCCCTCTCCCTAAAATCAGTAAGCATGTCCTTGGGTGCGGATAAAAAAAAAAAGGAGAAAATGCAAATAAAGTAATAGCCAGTTATTACTTGAGGGCGTAAAACAAATACTTCTCCATAGTATCCTGCCCTTTGCTTGGCATGTGGGGGCAGCCCTCTCTCCTTCCTGTAAGGGAGAGGGAAACGGGTGTAAACACGACCCCCCTTTCAGTCGCTGAGTAGTAATTGCTGGAAAACTAGGGGCACGAGTCTTTCCCCAAGTTACCCTCACTCGTCCTTTCCGCTGCACGGCTCTCTTATTCTCGAGCCCACAGAGTACGTGTTTTCACTGGGAATGGAAAAGGGAGAGCATAAGCAAATACACACATATGGAAATGAGCGTCATTTTTGTCGTAAGAAAATTCAGAGATGGTGCGATGAGAAACGTGCAAAATCCGTGTGTCTTTTTGTTGCTGTGTGAACACAGTCATTAAGATTTCTTAAGATGGAATCACTCGTTTATTTCATCGTGCTGTGTTTATTTTGAATACTTCTCCTTTTCCCACCCAGCCATCAGGCAGGAACTGAGCAAGTCGAATACCGCGTAGAGAAGCAGACGAAAGAGAGATGGGACTTTACTCTGGAGAAAGGAAAAAAAAAAAAACACCTACAGACAACAGCTGTCAGCGACACCACACCCCTGCGTTTTGTTGAGCTGTAAGAAGATGGAGACCGTCGGAAGGAGGGAAACACCAACACGCTTTGAAAACCTTCAGACGTCATCACTCTGGCGATAAGCTATTTCCCTCCCCGTCTGCTGCTGTTTTCCGACCTTTTCAACAGGATGGAAGAGTCGTCCATGTAAGAGTTCCTGGAACAGTTATACAGAAAATGCTAATCAGCCCGTCAGGCAAGATCGCTGTGCGTTGAAATATTTTCATGTCAAGATAAACGCTCTCATTTTCCACAATCCATTGCTAAAATAAAGAGGAGAAAGGCTTAAGAAGTTTTTTCCAGAGCGTGCTGATGAAGAGTCCAGCGAGTTACGCTGTTGTATTGTACATGTTTCTCTCAGGTCTGTCTTCCTATCATGTTATTCCATGACTGTTGGTATGAGCCCTGCGTAGGTGAAGATCGTCAGACTCGGAGCAGAGGGGATTGTTACGTGCTTTCCAAGGGTGATATTTATGAGAAAGTGTCCTAAGAAAGATTCGTCCGGCTTGAGGAATTTTAGAATGATAGGAAGTCTTCTCGAGGTAGCCTTCATGCAATTTTTGTAGAGTACAACATAAAATTCGTCCAGAATTTAAAGATTTAGATGCCTTCCTAAATTGTTACAACGCTTTACCAAATCTATGACTCCTTACATAACACAAACCAGTGGTCAAATGTAAAACAATATATTGTAGATTTACTGTAGGTTTTCAACCTTTTTTAGATTTATGCATGTGGACATTTTTATAATGTAATTACTACCACCACAAAACTAGCTTTTTTAATTGCAGGCGGTAATGCATGTCACAGTAACACGTAGTGGCCTTTTCCAGGCCTCGTCCCCGGGAAGACGTTTTGTAGCATACTCTGGGGAGTGGGAGGAAGGGACGGAATAATTTTTTATTTAAAGCTAATTTCTGCACTACCTTTTTTTCTCGATTACCTGCATGAAAAATGACGAGGACTATTTTGTGACTTTAATTGGTTAAACATGTTAACAGAACCACGTACTTAATCTTTGACATCATGTCTTCAGCTCTTTGTATTTGAACTTCTGTCATTTCAATGGTCTGAAACATGATTCGGCGCTTCCCCTGAAGCGTGTCTTCCTGTGGGACTCACACGCCCGGCCCCTGAATCTGGCCGTGACGATGGCCTACGTGCCCTGCAGGTGTGCAGGTGGTCGGGCTCAGGCGCCTGGCTGCCGGGCCGCTTTCGAATCTCATTATGTTGAGTTACAACAACAAACAGTGAGGGCAGTGGTCAAGGTCACAGAGGTCGTCAGGTAAGGGGAAACCCGTGAAGAGCTCTGCATCGTTTCCTTTTAATAAAGTGAGACTTGGGTGGTGGGAACAAGGAAGTGGATACTCTGCTTACTGCTGTGTGTGCGCACACCAGTGCATGCACACGCGTGTGCACGCCATCCACTCCCTTCTCTTTGAAATTCGTACGATTAAAATAGGGGAGAAATCCTGTCTATTGCAATGATAGTTTGATTTTTTTTTTTTTTTGAAAAATTTAGGAAATCAAAAAATCCCCAGGCTCTCCATCTTGATTCATGCTTGAGTTGCTATGTGCCATATTTGCTTTGAAATCTTTGATTATCGGAAGTTTTACTAAAATTTTGAAGAAACCACCCATTTTCGTTTGCCCTCCGTTCATGAGCCAGAGCGCGGGGATGGCGTAGTTTCCTCAGTGCCGCCGAGGTGCAGCACAGCCCCTGCAGAGAGGTTCGAGCGAGGGAAGTCCTTGTTACCAAACCGTCCCGGCTTCTGGAGAAGGAAGCTTCGTCCCCAGAGTCATCTGGGACGGATGAGCTCTCGGTCAGGTCTCCAGCTCTTCTTCCCGTCGGCTCCTCGCCGTCCACAGTAGCAGTCAAGGCTTTGTAAAGATGCAACATGCTTCTGAAGTGCTGTTTTCTGAAAGAGATAGGAGGCATTTCCAGTCTTTATTGTTGCCCTTTTGGTTATGTAAACACTCACGCTACCCACGTGTGTGTCCCCCGTCAGTCTGGTCAGAAGTAACCTTTGGTTTTGTCGGTTAAGTTCAATAGTCTACAGTAGGATAGAGGACTCTGGGTGCCGGTGGTCCAAAGTCAGACGAAAGACTACAATAAAACGCTAGATCCTACAGAGAAACTGGTTTATGCACTAAACGTCTTGTGCCTTGGTCTCATCTTAACACGGTGTCTGTGTGAAACGACGAGGAAGAACCAGTGCTGCGTCGTGTGCATTTTCCATCGTCTCGCATCCCCCCCGCCCCCCATGGCTCGGTGTGCTCCCTCCCGACGTGTGATGGACTCCCTGCGCGTGCACCCCCGCCCCGCGTGGCGGCGGCCGTCACTGTTGGAGATTCCGGTGATGGCACCCGAGACGCGGAAGCCGGAGCGACTGTCCTCACCCGGACTGTGCGGGCGCCGCGCGGCGACGGTGGCCTCGCGCGCTCCTCCATGGGACGTCTGGCGCGGTTTCGGGGACCCTCCCTGACCGCAGGAGGGTACCTCTGTCCTCAACACTGTGACCCGACCCGTGACAGACCTGTGCTGTTCACCCTGTCAATGGCTCACACGTCAGCTGCAAACCCACTGAATGTACAAACCTTAGTGCTGGTGCTGAAATCTCTGCAGAAGAGTCGTCCCGATTTCCGAGTGTGTTCCGAAAAATTCGCGAGCATCAAGTGTCAATCAAAACCGAGGATGAAACACTAATGAATGTCGACTTCTCACGCGTTAGGTGTCCTTGTTAGAGTTTTCGGTTCTCGGCTGTTTCCGCCGTCCTGTTGCGTTGACATTTCCTACACGCTGACTCCGTTTGTGCGATTGAAATAAAATTGCAGTATCTACGTGCTGGCTTGTTTGTGGCGCTCAGATAATCTTCTGTTGAATCTTCAGTTCTGTCGAATGTGGAAACAGTCACTTTTCAGACTCCATGATTTCACCGCTTTCATTTTCCATACCACAGAACTACTCTTTAAAAGAGTTCGTAAAAGTTATCAGTGCTCAGGGCCGAGTGCGAAGGGAATACGCGTGGTGTGTCTGCTTTTTGTCAGAGACTCCCTGTTTGTCCTTGTTTTCTCACGGCCCCGCCTGACCAGGTGTTCTTCCTCTCACACTCCAGAGAAGGAGACGTGTTCGCTTTGACTCCGTTTCGTCCTAAAGCAAAGTCGGACACTTAAACTCATTTGCGCAGTTCAGCTTGTCCTTCACACGATTTGCCGGGCGGGCGACCCTGTGTGGGAGCGGGCCTTACCCACTGCTGCACTTCAGGCATGGTGAGATCCATGTGTCTGCAGTGTGTGTTTATACCCCGTGCCCGTTTCTTGAAACCTGTACGCAGTGGTTCCTTTTGTCCGGCTCCCATGAAGTATGAGCTCTGAGTTCCACTTTAAAAACCCAGTGTTGCCCTGGCTGGCGTAGCTCAGTGGATTGAGCGCAGGCTGCAAACCAGGCATCGCAGGTTCAGTTCCCAGCCAGGGCACATGCCTGGGTTGCAGGCCACAGCCCCCAGCAACCGCACATTGATGTTTCTCTCTCTCTTTCTCCCTCCCTTCCCTCTCTAAAAAAATAAATAAATAAAATCTTTAAAAAAATTTTAAAAAGAAAATAAAAACTCAGTGTCTTCGACAGAAAGGCAGCCACCTTGCCTGTCTCGTTAGCAGCCCCCATGTCCCCCACCGTCATCCTTTTCCCGTCCCGTGGACCGTGGTCCTGGCGCCCACTGGTGTCCGCAGCCACGACACAGTCCGCAGCTCTGACAGTGTCGGCTGAGGTTTCTCTCCTGCCTCCGGTTCTCGCTCCCTGCACGTATAAACCAAAATGTTGGTCTGCAGGCTCCAAACGCCGCTTCCCATTCGAGAAGGAATGAGTGAAGTAACAGATGGACACCTTCTCTGTGTGCCCAGCTACAGCTGTTACATCTCCTGGATTTGTATGTATGTTCAGGGCCGTCGTGCAGAACCGGCCTTTAAATTCTAAGTGGTGTTACCCTTGGAAGCACAGTTTGCTGAGACAAGCTACAGGTGCTGTAATTACTTCTGTAGCCACCGTAACCGGCCCTTTAAATCCTGTCGATGACAAGCATAAAGATGGCATCATATCCAGCCTGCTGGGTGAAAAGAACCCTCTAGGAGCTCCCAGTCCCTTCGTGTAGCTCTTTAAAAACCACTTTTCTAAGGACAGTTGCCACAGCGTTCATTGCAAAGCCCCGGACCTGACCCCGGCGGCACCGGTTTCTTTCGCAAGGGAATTCATGTCTGTCCCTCCTTCGAAAGCTCTAAGGAATTTGAAAGGCATCTCCAGAGTATATTATGATCAGGGGTGCCCAGTACCTCTGACTTCGCACTGAAAAGCCATTTAATGTTTATATGTAGGTGCTTTTGAAGTCAGAACTTGAAGTATGTGTGAGTGGTCTTGTTCTAGGTCCTTGTGGGTGCATAAGGACAGGGGAGAACATGGAAGAAGAGCTTTTCTCTTCGGCACAAGCACATTTGGCTGAGACCCTGAGGCGGGCCGTCCCTCCGGAAAGGCTGCTGCTGTGAGTCCAGCTCGGTGGGGGGGGGGGGGTCTGAGATGCAGGGGTCCCACCGTCCCGATGGGCTGTGGACGGGGTTCTCTTCGTGTTGTCCCAAGGTAACTTTTGAGAGTCGAGGTTTTTATACATGTTAATATTACCGGAAAACTGAAACCGTGACATTTGAAAGTGTAATTGGTTAGAAAAGGAAAATATATTAAGCACAGTAAATTTAGGATGGTTAGGCCTGTTCAGCACCGACATCCATGGTGGCGTTCAGGGTAAATCCTGTCTTGAACACCAGTGGTGAATTCACATACGGGGCAAATGGAGTCTTTTGGGAAGAAGATAATAATTTGAAAGCTGCCTAAGTATGACTATGTAATTTTTCTGTCTTTTTAAATAGTTTTTCTTTGTGAAGTAACAGTGCCAGTGAGAGGGTAAGTACATGACTTGGCCATCATAATTGAGGATATTAAAGGAATTACTGCCCCATGTATTGGTTATTTCTGTTACACCTGAAAAAAATCAATATATGTGACAGTTGGGAAAAGTGAAAAAATGGCTTTCAGCTGTTACAGATGTTGTCTGCCGCATGTGAGGTCCAACTGAAATGTTAGCATCATTCACAGCGTGTGGTGGGCCCTCCTCACCTGCTGATGGACACAGAGAATAAATGAAACCAGTGAAGTGTTAGAGGCACAAGATCACAGTCCGTGGGCTGTGTCCCACATCCGGGAAGCATGTTAAACACGCAGAGAAACTGAGTACAGCAGCCCCCTGGGGAGCTTCTGGTGCAGGACCCCGGGGCTCCCGGGCGGGGGAGGAAATTGGGGCCGGAGGCAGGCAGCTCAGGGGAACCAGAAAAACCGTCTCTCCTGTACCCATTTTTACAGGCATGGAACCAGCTCCCAGGAGTTGGAAAACTCGTGTGGAAAGTTCTGAGAGAAGACAGCTCTTCATCTTAACAAAAATGATCAGCAAAGCTTATGTATTTCCTTAGAGGGCTAAACTTGCATTAATTTCATGAAAAATCTATACACAAATGATAACCTCGTGGTTTGTGGTATTACGAACTTGATTTAACTTCCCTCTCTTTGATGCCAAGAATTTCTTCAGCAGCAGGTAACAGAATATGTAAAGTATATGAAGAAAAAAAATCACTTACATGACTGATGTAGGAAGCTTTGTTTACACCTCGTCAATAACTTACTTTGTTAAGAAGTCACAGATGGCCGGTGTAGCTCAGTGGATTGAGCGCCGGCTGTGAGCCAAAGCATCGCAGGTTCGATTCCCAGTCAGGGCACATGCCTGGGTTGCAGGCCACGGCCCCCAGCAACCACACATTGATGTTTCTCTTTCTCCCTCCCTTCCCTCTCTTAAATAAGTAAGTAAATAAAATCTTAAAGAATCACAGATAAGGCATGGAGCGATGCTGGGGTGGGTTTGGTGTTCAGTAAATGCCCCTCCCAAGGCCTGGGACATGCAGCAAAGCATGCGGTTGGTGGCTTGGGTGGAGCAGAAAGTGGCACTTGGAAGAAAAGAAATGCACATTGAGGGATATTCAGTGCTCAATCAGATCCAGAAGCTTCCGTTCAAATCTATAGAAACGGAAAAAAAAGATTTTTAGTTTACATTTAAAATATGTGCTATTGTAACCACATGAGAAAAATGGGCCCCAGAAGACATTTTTAAAATGAGTTTCCCTTAGTCACATCCATGGGACCTCGTAAGTCCCCTTTTTAAAGGTTAAAGGCATTTTTTAAAAATGGTTTTGAATTGACTTCTTTTAAATTTCAGGTGAGAAATACCGACTTAGGGTTTTCCCTGTCACCGCCAGGCTGGGCCTGGGTGTGGCCTGGGTTGGCTCCGCCCACTGGGGCGTTTCCTCGGACTCGGGGGAGGGGGGGTGCGGGTTGTTTGACCCTGCCCGTACACTGACCCCCACATCTATCACTGCGAACCCCGTGGGACAGCCGCACAGTGGCCGGGTCGGGCGAGTGGAAGTCACACGAGAGGAATTCAGAGACCTCAGCTAGTTCAGTGCTGGGATTGCCGAGATGACGCCGGAGAAAGCCGCATTAAAATCTGACATTCATTTTATTAGCGAGGGGGTCGGGAGGAGTTTCGGGCCCCAGCCAGGAATCTATGGGATTTGGTTTCCGTGGGTGGGTCATTTTACGTTTCCGTTGCTGAGAGTGAATTTGGGGGCACAGCGTTTTGTTTTCACAGAGAAGAGAGCGTGTTGCTGGGAGTGGAAGGTTGTCAGGAGACTCCGATTTAATACGCTGGAGTCTGCCCGCTCAGGCTCGTCCCTCCCGCTCCGCTGCCCCTGTGCCTCCCTGCGGGGGGTGGGGGGGGGGGTCGGGCAGGGGCCCACTGGTGTGCCGCCGGTCGGCTGCTGGGCCGGTCGGCTGCCCTTGGCTCTGGTCCTCCATTCAGTGTGACGCCCGGTCGGTTTCTTCTTCGATCCAACAGAAGGAAAAAAGGCCTGAGTTCGGTTCTGATCTAAATTACTTTAAAATTCTGACCCCATTCATTGAACCAATTGCCTGTGAACGCCAGAGGAGAAGCAGAACGGGTGGCGACCCCGAGGTCAGCAGTGAGCGAGGCGGTGTTAGGGAGCAGTGACCGAGGGGGACCCGGTTCCTCCCCACGCTGGTCCTGCGCTTTCACGGGTGGGGTGCCCGGGCCGGGGGAGGGGTGGGGGGGCGGGGTCGGTGGCGCCGCTGCCTTCTCCCCTGCCTGTCTGTGGCCCTCCACCTGGAGGCCACTTGGCCGTTCTGCAAGACTGTGACGACGTGGTGGGAGTCCGTGAGACACGAGGGCCCTGTTCCGGTTCCGATCCTGCAGTGGCAGGAAGCCCCCGGGACTCCGTCTGGTCCAGGTGCTGTTTCTGAGTCAGCAGGCCCTCCGGAGCCCGAGGAGGTGAAGCCCGTGTTCTCCCGAGGGGGCGGGGGAGGCGGAGGGGCGTTGATTTTATCGCTCTGCCCTGGAGAGGGAGAATAATACTGCCCTCCTCGCTCCGCCCTTCTTACTCCGTGTAAGTGTGTACGTTGTCGTTCCTTCCCCATTCCTTATGTTAACCCAAAAGCCGTCGCAGCCATTTCTTAAAGACCAGGTGGCCCTTCTGCGCCGTTTGAGGCCCACTCAGAAGACAGACGTGTGGCAAAGTCACAGGTCGGCCGGAGGGCTGGGGGTGGGGGTGGAAGGTGAGTTCCGTCTTGTGGGTGTTCTTTTACTCCAGCTCTTGGTGAGTGGGTGTGATCCGGAATCAATTTTTTTTTTTTCTTTCTGTTAGCAGACATGCCTTTCATAACGTGGTTTTTCTCTGGGGGCAAAGTGAGGCGTTGAATTCATTTTCAGCAGAAGTGAATGAACCAGAAAGAGAATTCTATCTTGAGACATCCGTAGTGGATGCAAACTACTCTGTACTAGCTAGTCAATGATGGTATTTACATATTTTCATAGCAAGTCTTTTTTTTTTTTTTTCCTCACCGGGGCTGGAGAAGCCTCCTGCAGTCTGTAATTACAGAAACCCTGCGTGTCTGGGGTCTGTAGCTGCGGGGGAGCGTGGGTGGGTTAGGGCCCGCTGTGCTTGCTGTGAGCAGATGGTGGGGGGGCTTGCGAGTTCAAGTGCGAAGCTTTCTGCAGCTCTGTGTCTGTCGTATGAGCATGTGCGTGAATGTGGGGAAGCTTTTCGGTGCATTTTATGCTGATTTTGCAGGTGAGGGAGCCAGCAAGGCACCATGTCCTTGATGAGGCTGAACGTCAAACCCGTTTTCCTTTCCAGAACTACCACATGGGAAAGCATACACTAGAATGGCACGGCCAGTGAAATGTGCAGGTGAATATCCTAGGGCCCAAATACGCTCTTCCTTTGCGGCAGATTTTGAAACTAGAACTGTGCATTCGTGTCCTTGCAAGGTGGTGCAGTGCTGTCTCCTTAGCTGAACACTCCAAGGTGTGCAGCCCATGAACCGAGAGCTTTCTAACCTGGGAGTTAACTGACCTCTTGAAGGGACATGGACTGAAGGGAAGACACTTTCAGCGGTTAAGTCAAGGCTGATGTAAACATGCACAGGTTTACACTGTAGCCAGCAATTACTTCACGTGCACGCAGAACCTCATGGAGCCTCTATGGGGTCCCGGAGTTCAGGCCTTGCTGCATCTCAGGAGGAAAGGACGCTGGTGGCAGCACGTTTTAAACAACAAAGTGTGAATTGCTGCTTGACCCAAATCACCTTGTAAATCCGAATAAAAACGTAAATAAATCCAAAATAATGAATCCAAATCTTGCGGTCAGGAAGCAGCCTCTAGGCTTGGCATCTACCTCTAGGAAGGGACAGGGGACGTGGAAGAGTGTGAGGCGTGAAACTGAAACGCTTGGCAGGGCCCTGGCCGGTGAGGCTCCGACGGTTGGGTGTCATCCCCCAAACCGAAAGGTGGTGGGTTTGCGACCCGGTCAGGGCACAGGCCTGGGTTGTGGGTTCTGTCCCCGGTCGGGGTGCGAACGAGAGGCAACTCATTGGTGATGTTTCTCTCCCTCTCTTCCCCTCTCTCTAAACATAAAGAAATAACATCTTGTTTTTTTAAAAAAGTGCTTGGCAAGGTGGGTAGGATTCGAGGCACCTGGGTTTTGGGCCGAAGCCTCAAGCAGGAATGACTAGAAAGAGGACATGCCGGACACCGTAGGAAGGACTCGCCAGGGCGCGGCAGCTCGTGCTGCCCTGTACGGGGCCTTCGAGATGCCGGTGTGAGCGAGCTGCACGCGCAGCCTCGTGGGACCCTAACGCGGGACCCCGTGTGCGTGACGTGTCTGCCACGTGTAAAGTTGAGGCTCAGCAGACAGGCTCAGCCCTGTCACTGCCGGGTCAGCGTGCCTGCTGCAGGCCCTTCATGGGACTTCCTGTGACTTAGGTCTGCAGCGTCAGATCCTCCTGTGTTGGCATTAAGCGGCCGTGTCCTTGAACTCGGCTCCATTGCTCCCTTCCTCTTTCTTTCCTGCGCTGCAGCCCTGGGCTTGGGCGGGTGTGTGCAGCGTTTGGGGGTTCGGAAGTCATTCCGGCGTTGGCTTCGTGGTGTTGCAAGCTGAGGGACACCCCGCTGCAGCCGCTGAGGGTCCCCACCCCACGGGGGCTGTGCTGAAGGGGACACGCAGCACCATAGAACTCGAGGTGGCCTCCTCGGACCTCCTCCGAGGCAGTGCCGACTCACCGGACGTGACCTTGCACCGTGTTCCTCCGCGCCGCAGCGCCCTTATCCGCGGTCTTACCGTCTGTGGTTATGTTACCCAAGTGTCAGCTGCAGTCCAAAAAATTAAGTGGAAAACCCCAGAAATAAACAATACGGAAGTTTTAAATCGCGTGCCTCCCTGAGTAGGCGGACGAGATCTCTCCCGTCCTGCGCGGTCCGGCTCCGAACCTCACGGAGGAGTCACGCCCCCGACCAGCGTCTCCCCCTCCCTTCCTCTGGTCACATGGGCGCGTGTGTCTCCTGTGGTCACGAGGGTGAGTCCAGTCCAGCCTGAGAAAGTGTGTTCTCGTAACTTTTATTACCGCGCATTATCATTGTTCCATTGTGTTATGTTACTGTTGGTCTGCGCTAATTTGTGAATGGAACTTTACATAGGTATGTACTTAGAGGAAAAATGTGGTATAGGGTTTGGTGCCATCCACGGCTTCAGGCAGGCATCCACTGGTAGTCTTGGAACCTATCTCCCGGGGAAAAGGGACAGGGGGGCTGCTGCACCCCATTTGTCATTTGTCAGATCCTCCTAATTCATCTGTCTGGGCCAGCCTGTCTAGGTGGGCCCTGGGGGTGCTCCCTGCAGGAGACCCTGTCCGGGTGCCCGGCAGGCCCCTGGAGGCGGCCCCTAAACGCGGTGCGCATCCGAGAGAGGGTAAGGGGTGGGGCAGTGAGGAGGAGAGAGCGCGCCACCACCTCAGGCCACGCAGGCCTTACGGACAGGTGACAGGAAGGGCGGGAACAGAGCCAGACCTCGCCCTACCACGGTCTTGGATGTGGCGGGGCTCACGGAGGTGCTCTGCGCTCTGGGCAGCATTGTCGTGGCATCCCTCCTGGTTACGCCGTCCGCTGGGTCCCACCTGGCCTCCGCTGCTGTTCACACCTGCTCCTCCGCCCCAGCACCTGGGGTTTGTGTGGACATCCAGGTGGCAAGGGGAGGGGGGGTTGCAGCAAACTACTCAGGAGGCTTCCAGGAGGGTGCAGGGAAGCGCCAGCCAGTCCCAAGGGTGGGTGCAGTTTCTTGGCCCCCAGGGGT